AATGGCTGACTTCCGACAGGCACCAGACGCGCCCCGCCCGGCCGACACGGTCGGGGGCGGAGGCACGCGCTGAGCGTTTGCTCGGAGCAGGGACGCGTCTAATGACTCGGACTCGTATCGCGGCTAGATCGACCCGTAATTAGTCGCGCCGGACAGCTCCAGATGGCGAGATGGCCGGGCCAGTCGGACTGAAGCACAGGCGCGTCTCCCGATCGGCGCCGCGGGCGCCGATGACGGATAGCCTCCGAGAGCCGCGCACCTGTGCAGAGGCTACCCGGGCCGTGTCACTGGCGAGTCCGGGTCGTCGCCGGTGCCGCTAACTGGCCTCTATCACGTCACGGGGCGGCCTTTTGTCCCTGCTCGCCGGCCGGATAGCGCGGTTTTTGTGCGAGCGGCGCCTTTTTGCGGCGGCGCCTTGAATCGGAATGCCGCCGGACGCTGGTGGCGGTCTATGGGTGGCGAGGGGTGACGGACGGCGCCGGCCGGGGCTCCGGGAGTGCCGCTGACGGCGCGACCTCCGCGCCTCCTCCGGCCTCCCCGCGGCGTGACGACCGGCGGTCGGAGTCTCAGTGACACGCCGCGCCATGACCGAGCCGGCCCAGTTTCTGAAGAGGCTGGGCGGCGCCGGCCATGACGGCTGCAGACTGAGAGCGCTGACGTCCGGTGGCTGCAGCAGAGGAGCAGCTCAGCCACCCTGCAGCTCAGCACCCTGCAGACTCCGCTGCTGACGGTCGTATTTACCTCCGACTGACGCCGCGCTGCAGGATGACATCCTCAAACTTTCGTTCCGGTAAACAAACGACGCGTCGCCACAGACAAATGGGCTCGTTTCCAGTTGTGACATGGAAATTTACCGATCGCTCGGCGGCGGCCGTCACGGTGTAGCGGGTGGGTGCATCAATCACATTCAGCATTGGCTGCGCGGCTCGACGCACGGCCCCGACCCGACCCGGATCGGCCGCTCGGCCGGCCGGGTCAGAGAGCCAGCCGTTCTCCGAAATGATTACTGAACTTTGGGGCGTCGATCGCCGGCCGTCCGCGAATCAGCAATCTGCAGATCGAGTTTGTCGGCTGATTAGGTGCGGCGCGTTTGTCTGCGCTGCGCCGTGCTGTCAGCGCCGGGTGTGACCGACGCGGCGCAGAGCGGCTATTGCGGCGCCCATCCGATGGAGCCGCCGGCGCCGGCCGCCGCGCGGCCACTCTGCATCACAATGAAATCATTTTCACGATGTAAGTGGTCACGGCGAGGCCTCGGCCGGCCGTTTGTCGAGTTGTGATTGCTTCGTGCGGCGCGTTGGGCCGATCGGCCGCTGCAGACACCGCTAGCTTTCCGGAACAGGGTGCTCCGCCCGGCGGTCCAGCCTCTCGGCGCGACCCGGTCGACTCCGCTCGACTCGGTTCGACTCTCGGCCGTCAGCGGCAGCCGGCTGGCCCGGTCGTGTCCGGACTATTAGCGGCTATTCTCAGTTTCTCTGGACAGATGGTATCGACTGGGTATCCGGCCGGCCGGGGCGACCATGAAACCCAGCCCGGCTCGATAAAAACCGACAGGTGGGAGAGCGATGCGCCGATACGGGCCCATTTGTCCGGCCGCTCGGACATGTTACCCCATCACCTGGTCGTCTCGACGAGCAGGCGAGACATGATACCCCTCCAACCCGTCCGCGCCTGTCCTCGGCCGGTAAACGGTCAGCCGTCCCTCTCATGGCCGCTCTCTGCCGACTCTGACTCTGCCCGCTACTCCGACTCCGACTGAGGCTCCTTGTCCCGCTCTGTTTGACTGTGTGTGTGAGAGCACGGTGGTCGGCGCAGACCTCCCCGGGGCGGTAAACAGCCCGCTCGCTTCTGGTGAGGTGAACTGGATAAACAGCCCGGCCGGCATGGCACCCCGCCGAGCTCCCATGTCACTGCCGACGGCTCAGAAAACGGGCCCTCAGAGACCATCTCCGGCCCGGGAAAGTCCACCGTCTGCAATAAAATCATCTGCTCAATTAAGCTCAAGGCTTGTAATTACGCTTTTTGAGTCGTTAGGAGAAAGGTGTTTTAATTACGCTGGTCGGCGGAGTGTGTGCAACCACGGTCGCCCCGCGCCGGCACGCTCGGTGTGTTTTGAAAGCGACGCCTGCCGGTGCCGGCCGACGAGCCGCCATCCATCTGGGGTCCAATTAAACGTTCCGACGGCGGCCCGCCTGCGCCCCGTTGCCGCGCCGCTGCCCGTCGACCCATAGCGCCGGGTCTGCGTCGTGATCGACGAGGTGACGGGCCCGTCGGCCGGCCCCGCGTCGGTCCGCGGGTCCGCGGAGGGTGCCGCCCGCGCCGCCTGAATTATACAGGCGGCGGCGTGGGAGTCGCCACCGGAACAGACGTACATATAATAAATAGTGCACAGCTGCCGTGTAAATATTACACACATTCATCGGAGGCCAAATGACTCAGCTCTGACTCCCTGTCCCCTAACTATGTAATTTCGGCTAACCACTGATCTGAATAGTTCGCAAATATCTGAAGAGAAGAGAGCTTCCTGTGTGGCCCCAGTTCCAACCCCACGTATTACCCTGACCCAATATCTAACCAATGACCTTCCAGCATGCCACTCTGCTCAATGAACAAAGCGATCATTGTTCTTGGGAAGACCCGCATCCCTGCCGGTTCCAAGTAGCATCATCTGGCGGCGTTGGACAGGGACACGTGAGCCTCTCTCCCTCTCTGTCTCTCCTTGCGTTCTCTGCTCTCTCCGTGCAGCCGCCCTCGCTCCTCGGGAGGTCTGCCTCTGACGCGTGACGCCGAGCGTCGCCCCAGCTCCAACAGGGGTTGCTGCTGCGTGCCGGGCCGGCGCCCCACGGCCGCGGCTTCGTCACGGCTCTCTCCGCGCGCCGCGCGCTGACCGGACCCCCGCCGGCGGCCCTCGGCGCCGCCCATCCATCGCCCGGCCTGCGCGTCGGGTCCGACGACGCTAATTGAAATCGACGCTCCCACGCACCGAAAGGTGGCCGCTCCATCACGATTGTGACGTCCCGTGCCGTTTTGGCTTTCTCCGGCCGGATGATATTGACGCAAACAGCCCGGCCGGTGCGGAGCAGGGGAGGATGGTTCTCCGCTCAGCGGTCGGGTCGCTCGCCGATTGAGAACTCTTCAGTGGCTGATTGGCTCCATCGGCGAAACGTGCTCAGCCAGTCAACAGGGATCGAGCACGATCGGAAAATCGAGGTTCTGTTGAACGCGGCCGGCGACGAAGGTGGTTTTGCCGCACGCCACGACCTGTGTCGGCTCTCTGCCGAGTCAGGAGCGGAGTCGGGCAGACCGGGCCGCTCGAGCTGCGTTCATTCACTTGAAGTCACGCTCCGCATTTCAGCATACCTGCGCGTCCCATCGATCCCGGGGATGTATGCGGGAATGCGCTGTTTTACCACCTATCGCGGCGCCCCGGGTAGCCGAGCGGCGGGCGGCGGGCGGGGCGTCCCCGTGCCGTCCTCACGAGGTGCCAACACGGCCGGCTGTCCACCCGCCCCACTCCCTCAGAGCCGTCCACCCCGGTCTTTGTGCGACGACCGGAGAGTGCCGTGTCGGCGCCGGCAGAGGCTGTTGTGGCGCCGGCCGTCACTGGCGGCCAGCGGGGTCGACAGCCGGTCGGGCCGCGCCGTCACCCCGCCGCCCCGGCTGCCAACCATGATCGATCGCTGCCGGTATTTTCTGATATTTTCCCAGTGGCTCCCCGCGCGCCGGCGGACCCCGGCCGGCCGGGGGACGGCGAATGGATGGGACCGGGACGGGTGGGTGCCATGCCAGGTGCCGCTGCCTCTATATGTGCCAGACCCAACCTCTGGTGACTGTCCTGTCCTGTCAGCCCGCCGCAGGACACAACTATCGTCACCGCGCCGCAAATGCCGCCGTCTCGCCACAATGACGGCCGCTGCGCCACAATGGCCTCGGTCGGGCGGTGCCGGCGGCGGCGCGGTGATTTTGTTTTGGTGGCGGTGTGTATTTGCGGCGGGCCAGAGGCCGTGATTGTCGCACCTCGGGCTGTCATTAGCGGCCAATTACCCATCTGAAAGCTGCATGACGCCCTCGGGGCGAGGTCACTGTTCGCTCCGTCGCCCCGCGCGTCACTACGCGTGACGCCCGTGACGGGTGACGGGTGACGCCAGTGACGCGGGCGAGGGTGAAGGCTGCCGCCGCCCTCTGACAAACAGGCGCTCCTTATCGTGCGGCGGCAGCGCCGGCCGCCCCCGCCCCCGCCCCCGCCATCCGTCTGTGGCGGCTGCCGCCGGGCCGGATTTCCGCAGCTACCGTCGCGCCTCCCTCGGCCGTCTGCCGCTGCTCTCTGAGGCGCGTCTGGTGCCACTGGGAAGGAAATAACTCGGCAGAGGCGGCGGCGCCGTATCAGGCGGCCACATCTGGTGCCGACGCACCTTCCGCACTGTATAAACATCTCGGCCGCCGCCGCCGCCGCCGCTCCTCGGCCGCCGTCGGGGCGAGTGTTTGCCGTTTTCATAAACGGCTGGTGGCGCGAGATTAGGCGGTTTCCGATACTCGGTGGTGGCGTGTGTGTGCCGACACCGCGGCGTCTGGCGGCGCTCTATTGTTCGCCGCCGTATCGACGGCCGATGGCTGCTCTCCATTCGCTCCCGCCGCCACAGCACCATATGTGGGTGAAACTGGCCCGTGTGCCCGCGGCACCCGGCCGTCGGAACCGCCCTCTCCGCGCCGCGTTCGACACGCAATTGATTCAACAGGCAAAGCGACCCATTAACCCCGTATTACTCCATTTAATTAACATTTTCGAATCGTAGACGTGGAGCAAAATATCCATTAGACGGCGCGGCACCGCCGTAAATTACTCGACTAGAAAGCTGACCCTGAGGAGATGAACCCGTGAACTATGAGAGTCGGCTCCGTCGGCTTTACACAACGGGTCGTGTCGACACGAGTTTGGCGTCGACGCGGAGGGGGATTTTTCGTGTTTTATGGATGCTAATAATCGTTTTGTCTCTCTGTTACAGACGATGCCGAGACGAGTCGGCGCGATGCGTTGGCTAACGTCGGCCTTGTGCCTTCTTCTGCTTCATCTGTCATCAACACACGCAGGTGAGTTCAGCTCGCCCTCGGCGGGGCCTCGCGCGCGGCGCTACGTCCGGCCCGCCCACCGTCCGATCGGTCATCGGCTGCCCAAGGACAGCTGCCGCACGGGATACCGCAATGAGCGCAACAGGGCGGCCGTTTTTGTGCGTGTTTACAGCGCTGTCGGCGCGGCGTGGGCCAGTCTCCCCCGACGCTGTCGATCGGTCTCCCGCGCGCCCGGCCACCCTCTTACATAGCTCATGTTTCCGTGGAGGCGGTGGGTCGGTCGGACGGGCGACTGCGAGTACGGTGGTCTGGGAGCAGCGGGGAGCGTAAGGGCGGGGCCGACGGGACGCGGACGGCCACCGTGCTCTGTATCGGGGCGGATAATCCTCAGTGGACTGACCGTCCTCAGGGGCCGGTCGAGGTCGGCACGGAAGCCGCTGCCGTACCGATTTGGGATCGTTTTTGTGCGCCGGCGGCGGCGCTCGGGCCGTCCGGGGCTCACGGCAGCCATTACGGTCCATTTATTACAGCCGGCGCGACTCGGCGGCAGCCGCGCCGATCGCCGCCCGGACGGCCAGCTCCACGTCTCAATGTGGCAGGACCGGCCGGCTGCGCCCGGTGCTGCCCGCTCGCCGGATCGCCGGCCGGCCGGCACCGTTAGCCGCACCTCCGGCGCCGCCGAACGACCACGATCGCCGCGCCGGCGGCCGCTCGCCACGCCTAATGATAGGAAATCGTCAACATTAATTAGCGCGTCCTGACCTGCGGTCAGCGCCGACGACCTCTGCGCACCTCGGCTCGGCCCGCGGCGGCGGCGGCTGTGGTAGCGGTGGGGCGGCGATGGCCGTCCCCATGCCCCACACAATCAGCGCCAGCGAGCGGTCGCTACTCATTCGCCAGATCCTATTGGGTTTGCATTCGCAATTATCCGGGGTCGTATCCCATTTCCCGAAGCCATACGGCGGTCGGTTTTTCCTGGCTCCCACCAATACACCTTATTACACGAGCAAGAGCGCAGACTGTGGTGACGCATTATCGGCGCAAAGGCATCATTTGTGCGACTATTTCGGTCGCTGCGTTCCGCGCTCGTAATTATCCGGGGTCGTATCCCATTTCCCGAAGCCATACGGCGGTCGGTTTTTCCTGGCTCCCACCAATACACCTTATTACACGAGCAAGAGCGCAGACTGTGGTGACGCATTATCGGCGCAAAGGCATCATTTGTGCGACTATTTCGGTCGCTGCGTTCCGCGCTCGTAATTATTCCCATCGATTTGACACACGGCGTGGCTCGACGTCACAGAATCTCGCCCCTGCGCTGCCGGCGTCGCGGGCCCTCGGCAGCCCCTCCGTCGGGCTGTTTGACACGGTGGGGTCGGATAGCGTCGCCGGAGGGGCGGCTCGTAGAACCGACACGGCCGGGTGCCGCCGCGCCGCGCCAGAGCCGTGAAAATAGCCGCGGCGAGCAGTTTTTCAGCTCCAGCAGCCGCTCGGCTCGCGGGGCGCCGCCGCATTATTGTGCCGTTTTAACGGTGCTGCGCGGAGCACGGAGTGGCTCGACGGTCGTACGGGTCGCCGTCAGTGACCTGAGGTTACTGGTCAGACCGAGCGAGTCATCTGTGGCCATCAGAGGCCGCGCCGCCGCCGGCTACCGGCCACCACTGACCCGAATTGTCACGTGAAATGTGAAGTGTCTCATGTTTTATGAGCGCCGGCTGGCGTGCGGGCATGCGGCGGCCTGGAATCCGGCCCGGGACGGCTGGGAAAGGCGGCCTGGCCCGCGCCCGGTCCCGCCGCAGGGTCGCCCCGTTCGGCTGGTGGAAGCCGGCACCGTGTCCTGCCGTGCTTTACGATGGGAGAGTCTTCCGTCGGTGGAAATAATGCAGCACGCTAGACACGTCGGGGGTGGACCGCGGCTGCCGCTGTCTCTAACGCTGCGTATACGTAACGCTCGTACAGCAGCTCCCAATAGAAGCTGCGTGGTTGTATACACGTCCCGGCCCAGCCCGGTTGCGTGCCATCAAGTGTGGATTATTAATGCAGCCGCTCGGCGATACAGCCGCGGTACAAAGCTTCCCCTGTCGGGCCGGCAACGAATGTTCCTCGGGCACGACACATCCGAAAGGGTGTATTTACGAACATACTCGGCTGGCATTAAACGCGCCACGTATTAATAACTTCTAATTAAACGGCCGCTGCGATGGATGGCGCGGCCGAGTGGCCGGCACGTTTTTCCACATGGACGACTCGCCGGGATATTAAAGCCATTATATTGCTTTTTGCCACACCCGGCAAAAAGCACCGTTCATGTCAACTGGCATTATGTGGCCGGCTATGGCGAGTGGCCAGGTCATTCGGCAGAGCTGGTACTATCCCACGGCCCGGGAGGCCTGCGCTCGGGATACCGCGGGCCGGCTTCGATCGCCTCTACCCTCCGGCTATGCAAATTACTTCTGTCTCACGCCTGAACTCAACGCGTTATTGAAACTCGCAACGGAGAGCGGCTAATCCGGTGAGGAGGCTCGGTGTGGCGTCCGAGCGCGCGAGGAACCGCTGCCCGAGCCTGCGAGAGGAAGATCGCTCGCCTCGGGGCACAGGGTGAGAGCCAAACTGCTGCGAGAGCTGGCAACGAAATGATGCCCTGCCCTGAGAACCGGCACTTAGCCGACCAGATTGGCCGTATAAGATCATGTGTGACAAGTGGGATGTTCTGAGATCCCGGAGGCCGCTCGGAGAGAGCTCACATCCGCCGTCCGCCGGGCGGGCAGCGCGGTAGGTGTTCTGACCTGATCTGACCCGACGTGGACCGCCACCGGCGACGGAAGACTCCATCCGGGCACATTGGGGACGCCGCCTGCCGACGGCGGTAAAAACAATACCGTAACAGCCAAAGGTCGCCGCTGCTCTCATGATCGTAAACCCGGAGAGCGCCGGCGGCCGACTAACGGAGTCATTGTCGTCCGGGGCGGGCCCGCGAGGCATCGGGCAGAGTCATCAGCCGGGGTCATCAGCAGAGTCATCAGGCGAGTCATCAGTCGCGCAGGTGTCGCCCGAGCGACTCGCCGCCGGGCGATGATGTGACCGACCGGCGCAGGTGACTGTCCTGCGGTGGTCCGAGGGTCGGGACGGACTCACGGACCCGCGGCGGGATTCTCACTCGGCCCGGATGCCCTCCGGCGAGCCGTGGGGCGGCCGCTCGCCGCCGCCCGCTGGCAGGCTGCAGCGCGCGGCGCACAACTCAGCGCGGCGGCCGCGGCCGCTGACGACCGGCCTGTTTCTGCGGCGGCGCGGCCGCTCTCTCTCTCCGCGCCGCGCCGGCCTCGCCGTCTCGCAACTCACAGCCGGCGCGCCCCGGCCGCTCGTTGTTGCAAATTGCGGCCGGCGGGCGGCTGTCGGAGTTGTCTGGTTGCCCACCGCGCTCGCCGGGTAGCGCCCTCGCCGGGCACACCTTTGGGCGAGCTAGGGCAGAGTGGCAGCGCCCCGGAGAGGCGGGTAGAGCGGGACCGCGCGGCGATCGTCCGCCGGCTGGGAAGGTCGCCCATCACTCGCCAACCGACCCTGTTGTGACGGTCGGTCGCGTTTTATCAGCGCCCAAGTGCCGCTTATTTGGCACTGCCGCCGGTCGAGATGGCGCGATAGAGTAATTTTCCCGGCCGGCTGGCCGGCGGGCCGGGCGGTGATGGGGTGACGGCCGGTCGCCTTTGCCGCTCGCTCCCCATCCTATCGGCCCTGTCTCTCTATGTGAACGTAGCCTCACTGTAGACCGCGAGCTCCGCTGTCTCCTCGCCAACCCCACGGCGGCGGCTCAGGCGCAGGTTATGCATGCCAGCATGCATTTAACATGGCGCGGCCGGGCGGCGGCGGTGGCATTCCTGCTGGTCGGTGCAGCAGCGGCGGTGGCGACTGCAGCGAGCGGTGAGGCGCTATCACCGGCCGGCCGCTGCCCAGTACCCACAGCCCGCACACGGCTCACGGCCGGCGGGGAGGTGGCGGGGGGCCGACCACTGACGGCCCTATGCAGCGCGCAACAATGGCGCCTGTGCGCTGCATTTCTGCCCCGGTCCCGGTTGGCCATTAATCGTACCCAGCAGACAGAGCGCGTCCCGGCGCGCGGCGGCCGCCAGCCGGCGCGAGGATGAGTTATTTTTTGTTGACGTCGCCGCGTCGCCCGGCGAAATGTCGCCCGGCGTGACGCGATTTATGGCGTATTGACTTTTGGTCGTGTTATTGTAGAAAAATGTGAAGCGGAACGAGAAATGTTTCTGTGTCTGGCTCTGGCGCTGTTTACGAGATGATGTTACGGCCCGCTGTTTTCGTTGTCTGCGCCGTGCGACGTTTAATCGCCGTTTTAATTTGGTCGGCTGGCGCTGTTTATTTGGCGTGCTCGGTCGCGCAGGCCGCGGCTGTTGTGCTGCTCGTCGGCGCTTTTCACGGCTAATTTCGCTCGGCGGGTCTGGCTGCACGTCGTTGCGCGGCCACTCAGCTCTGCGCTGACCACAACACCCCGCTAGTGATGGATGTCGAACGGTTACATCGTGCGCGCCGGCCGGTGTTGTTGCAATTATTCAGAATCTATCCAGTCACTGCTAATTGTCGAAATGGCAACGAGCCGGCGCGAACGGTGGCTGTCGGCAAGGCTCAGCGCCGGCAGCGAGCTGCACCAAAATCGCCCTTCGGCTCCGGCCGCTGCAGATTGATGATTTGCACTATTTGTGATGACATGATCCTCATTGTGGCGCACCTCATCGGCCAGACGGAAAATGGAGCTCCTTTTTAATGCGGGCTAATTCCTGTCGGTATCGCCGGAGGCACTGGAGGCTTCCAGCACTACAATGCCAGTCGTCCCGGCCAGTAATGGCCCTAATACTGGTTGGTATTTATCACTGTGCACCGGGCCGGCCGCGATGGCAGGCTCGGCCCTCCAGCGCGGCCGCATCAGCCGACATGTGTTTGCGGCTTGTAGCTCCATATAGAGTACCAGACAATTACGAACGGCGTGCACGTGCTAGAATGCGTCCTGG